ACAGAGCTTTCCTTTAACAAACGGTTCTTTTTCCTGAAAAGACATCAGACAGAACAAACTCTTTAAATTTTACTTTATAACTTATATGCATTAAATAACCAGGAGATATGAGAGCAGATTTTGATAGAAATTGATAAATCATCAAACATTAATTGCTGGTTTAAATTATCAAAGAAAGTCTCAGAATTGTGGTAAATATTTATACTTTGTTCATGTACTCATATATGACATGTTATCCCTGTGAACGTTGTTTTGTTTCCTTTGTGATGTAATATTGTTGCCTGTCTATTCAGTGGATGTGATTCCTGGATGGTAGGGGAAGGGGGTTATTTTATTTACTTTATTTACTTTATTTCCACCTTTTTTTCATTTCTTACTATCATTTTTTATTATATTGTTGCTATTTCTTTAAAGCCTTGACATCATTGGGTGGGGAGGGTGGAAATGAGGCCAGGGGCTGGGGAGTGTAGACATGGGCGGGGAGGAAGGGTGTTCTACTATTGACGACACAAATCTGTATACACTGTACAAAATGTTGACTAGCTGTGGTTGGTGCACATGTTGCTCCTCTAATGTGAAAAAACAATAAAAAATTGATCACAAAAAAAAAATAAAAAAATAAATTGATAATGTGGAGACCAGGTGGTTAGAGGGGCGTTGGCGTCCTAAAGAGGCCCTAAAGGTTGGTGGTTTGAAACTCTCCCTTAGCGTGACTCAGTGTGGGGCCCACTGCTCCCTGAGGGATGGACAAACCAGAGAACAAATGTCCACCTGGGAGACAAATTCATGAAAATACAGGAAAATATTCATCCTGGAAGGTTTATTAAACTGGGCTGCGTTGCAGCAAAAAGGTTCTGGGTTCGATTTCCGGCCCGAGGTCTTTCTGAATGGAGTTTGTTGTTCTCCCTGATGATGCGTGGGTTCTCTCCAGGTACTCCAGCTTCATCCCACAGTCCCAAAACATGACTGTGACAGTGGGATTGGTCCTGTAGACGACTGGAGATAGGCTCCAGCATCCCTCGCCACCCCAGCAGGGATAAAACATGTCAGAAAATGGATGGATGGGTTTATGAAACCAATCTGGTTCATTTTGGCCTGAGTAAAAATAATGTTTGGTTTATATTTTCCTGATCTCCACTGATTCCTGCTCCTCCTCCACAGCAGCTTGTTTCCCATCCCTCCTCCTGCTCCCCTCAGACTGACCCTGCAGCTCCTCTCTGGGAACGAGTTGATCCTCAGAGGTGAAGTAGAAACCTCCCACCAGCAGCTTTGTCCAGATATGTGCCCAGTTCCCAGGCCTGGCAGGAAGTGAGGTCGCGGTGAAAGTGGGACAGACAGGAAGGAGTTGAAGCACGGAAAAGGCTCATGGAGGCTGTGGGTTCCTGGGTCATAAAGTCCTGCTTTATTTTTCCTAATGAGACAGAAAAGGTTGATCTCATCCAGAGTCTCTGCAGAGGGACTGATTTCCAGAGTCTCTGTTTTAGCTCAGAATTCCTGATTCAGCCAGAGGGGGGGGATTCCATTAGGCAATACTAGTTAGGTGCCTAGGGCCCCAAGTTCCTGGGGGCCCCAAAAAAACCCGGTTCCAAGGAAGGGTAAAAAAAACAATCCCCAATTGGGCAAAATAAATACGGTTTTGAAAAAAATCCTTTGGCTAAAATGTCATCAGAACGCTGATAATATTAAATGTCATCCTCCTCATCATCACCTTCACTCAAGATCTGACCTAAAATAACTTATTCATGTAAATCCTGGAAGACAATCTGAGTCAATCAGATAAAATAAAGTCTAAATCAGCTGGATTATTTTTTCTTCATATTCCTGTTTAATGGAAAATCATTAAAGATGCAAATGAGGATAATTAACACGAATCCTTCATGAAGCTGTTATTTCTCTGATCAGCTGTGATTAACCAGTCTGAACCCGGTGATGACATCACTGTTTGACGTCCAGTTATTTTAGTGAAGATCAGAACCTCTGTGGCCCGTTCAGAGTTCTGTGACCCGTCAGAACCAGCTGCTAGATAATTCGACCTGTCCTCCGTTTATTTATTTATTTTTTCATATACTAAGGGGCTAAGGGCCTTGCTCAGGGAGCCAGGGTGAGTGGGGGATCGAACTCACAACCTCAGGATTCAAATTCACCACTAGGCCGCCACACCCCTTAATTATGATGAAGCAGCATTGTTTTTATCTCTACAATCTGAATCTGGATTCCTGTTTGAAGAAAAACATCCCAATAACTAAAACCTGCAGACATTTAAACGCTGCTTTCTTTAAACCTGAAAAGTTAATCAGCAATTATAAAAAATAAAATAAAAAAAAAGAAGAGGAGGAAAATAAATAATTAACTTTAAACTGAAAATGTCTCAGTTTATTGGACTTTTGATCCTAGCAAACCTCCTCCTCTGAGGCCCAAAGGGTTGGCTGGAGCAATAAGAAGGTAAATGGCTCCATCTAGTGGCTGGAAATGTTCCTACATCTCTACAGAAAGTAGAGCAAACCTCCAGTTTTCTGTCCCATTCAAGGGTGTAGGTTTGATCTCAGCTTTGGTAGGGACACTATTGATCTTAAGTTGAACTGGTCTGATGTCAAAAATATGCTTGCTCCTATTTTTTTATTTTTATGCTTGACTTTAGCATCAGGGTGCATTTCGTTTAAAGAGAAAACAGCATTTTTTGCTACATTTATACACATTTTATAAGCACTAAACACACAAGATGCTGTTTATCAATGTTTGAAGCATCAGTTGCTCTGAATAATGTAAAATTGGGACAACTTAACACTTTTGAAAAGTGTTACATTTGAACTTACCAGTGACTAAGACGAAAGGTAAATATTTAACCAAATATAATCTAAATAGGTCTGTTTTATGTGTATTTATCAGATGTTTTCTTTTGAAGAAATAGAATTGTGCAGAGGTAAACACAAGTAAAACCCACTCTTATTTTTTTTTTCTTTTATCTGATATGTTGATATTCTCTGTATTGTAAAACAACATATTCTAGGGAATGCAAATAGATTTATTGTATTTACATGAGAGCGGGAACTATAAGAGGAACTGACACTGATAATTTAAAATATTAACTGCTGCAACAACGCTGTACTGTAAACTATAAACATTTTATTCACATTGGTAGGGACCAGTAACCTGACAACAGCCAGATGCATGTCTCACTCCGCCTAGCTGGGCGGAGCGAGACATGCATCTGGCTGTTGTCAGGTTAAGGGACCAGTAGGTCGGGCCAAAATAGGGACATGTCCCTGTGGTCCTTATGCAAACCTACGCCCATGGTCCCTCTGATTGTATTTGAGGCTCTGTGGGTCTGAGTGGGTGTTGTTGGTGTTGTGGGAGTTGCATTCTGAGCTCACATCTCCTCCACCGCTTCAGCTGGACCCTGGACCCGTCCCACCACCGTCCCTCTGGAGGTGTTCTTCACCCAGCCCACCAGGCCGAGCCGCAGTCCCTCCTTCTCTGTGTGCTGCAGGACGGAGACACGTTTACTTTAATAACACAGAGACCTTTCCACACCAAAAACATGCAGCAGAAAGAGGCTCAAACTGACTGATTATAATCCTGGAAGATCGAGAGACGAGAAACAAACTTCAGCTCTGAGTTGATGGACAGAAACCCTGACTGATTCAGATCAACTTCCCTGATGCTGGCTCAGGGAAGCATTGAAAACTTGTGGTCAATCATCAAGAGACGGACGGACAAACGAAAACCTTCTGCCAAAATGCAAGCATTGATTGAGCAGAATGGACGCTATCAGTCAGGATTTGGTCCAGAAGTTGATTGAGAGCAGCCAGGGAGAATAGCAGAGGTCCTGAAGAAGAGGAGTCAACTCTGCAAATATTGACTCATTCTAACTGTCATTAAAAGCTTTTGTTGCTCAGAATATGATTGCAATTGCATTTCTGGATGTGATGCAACATCTGACATGGAAACCAGAGGGCAGCAGATCAGGTGAAAATCATTCTCAGTACTTTCAGCCATGACTGCACGCTGTGAGATGTACTGCAGGATCTGAGTCCCTCTGGGTGGAGCGTATTCCTCCTGGTAGCCTTTTCCTTTGTTCCCAGCTCTCTGCAGGTCATTCATCAGGTCCCTCTGTAGTTCTGGGATTTTTGCTCACCGTTCCCATGATCATTTTAACCCCATGGGATTAGACCGTACATGGAGCCGCAGATGGAGGAGATTATCACTGGTCTTGTAGGTCTACAATTGCTTCCACAGTTGATGCTGCTTGCCTATTGTAGATTCCCTCTTCTTCTTCTTCAGTTTTCTTCCTGGTGTCCTTGGACAGCTCTTTGGTCTCTGCCCTGGTTGACTTTGGAGTGTGACTGAGGCTGTGGACAGCTGTCTTTAACACAGATTGTGGGTTCAAAGAGGTGCAGATAATACAGGTAACAAGTGGAGGAGAGAGGAGCTAGGAGGTCTGGAGGAGCCAGAAATCTCTCAGGTTTGTTGGTGACAAAATATTTATTTTCCATCATAATTTACAAATAAGTTCTTTTAAAATCCTACAATCTGATTTCCTGGATTATTTTCTCATTTTGTCTCTCATAGATGAAGTGTACCTATGATATAAAAATAACAGACCTCTCATTATTCTAAGTAGGAGAATTTGCACTTGACTGAATACTTTTTGGCTTTACTGTATTTATAGAGATATTCCCATTTATCGTTGGTTTAATGTTCTTTAATTATTCAGTTCCTTATAGATCAGAAGGTTCCTCAGTTAGAAGCTGTTAATTTGTTCCTAATTAACTCCTCTGATTATCAAATTTTAATCATTAATGAACAAAATACTTTCAGTGAAAATTTTCACTTTTATCAAGTTTAATTTGTCTAAAAACTTAAAGTAAAACTGGAAGTAAAGCTCAGATCCCATCCCTAAATGAAATGTGACTGGTTGGTTCTGTTGGACCATCAGAACCTCTGACTGGTTTGGGTTCCAGTGGCTCTTAGAATAAAATATTCAACCTTAAAGCAAAGGAGAGACTCACCATTCTGAAGCAGACACCTGAAAAACAGTGAAAGGAGACCCAGTCAGACCATCTGGACCAGAACCAGAACCATCAACCTTTAGAGACAGGCAGCTTAACATGGAGGCTGATAAATAGCAGCTCCATCCAGACTGGGTTCTAATTTAAGCAGCAGTGGATCGTTTTACAGCTGCAGGCCGGTTCTGCAGAGCAGAGCAGGAAGAGTCCAGAACATACAGACCCTGAACGTGACCGAAGATCTCAAAGTCCACCGACACCAGGCTGGTTCCTGCAGACATCCTGCATGTGGAAACGTCCTGCAGATGGAGGAGGAGGTCAGAGTGCAGCTGGATCAGCTGCTCGGTACCAGCAGGCTCTGCACCTCCTCCTCCTAAACAGCCCTTAAAGGAACAGGCCTCACTTTTCTAACACACTTGAATCTAAAAGCTCAATCCCCTCATTTAGCCCAGCAGAGGCACGGTAACGAGCCACTCATTTGATTCAAGTGTGTTAACTCTAGTCAATAAACAGCGAACCAGTTACTATTCTGCTGGAAGCCAACCTGGGATAATAGGGAGATCTCTCTGAAGACCTCGTCACCTCTGACCTAAGAATCAGAACATCTTATGGCGCATTCTGCTGCCGTCCCACAAAGTTAAACTTTGAAGCCCCCCCTCTACCTAAAGCCTGTGGGGGGGTATTTTGGGTTCTCAGGTGAAAACTCCTAATGGCCTTTTATGTCGAAAGCATTATCAACCATTTATGACTTTATGTCAGGTGCTATTTCAGTCCTGATTCTGAAAGTTAGGATGTTTTTTTTTTGACCATCCTACATTAAAATATATTAAGTAGGTTTAGGTTTTACTCTGTTTAAAAATACTTTTTTTAATTTATCAAAAAGGATTATTATTATTTCACTCTTAGAAAAATATGCCACTTCTCAGGATTTTATTATTTATTTTTTGGAAATCTGCCACTTTAGTTAAACTCATAGCCTTTATGTATTTTAATTGCATTTTCCAAACTACATCCCATATATTTAGTCATCTGTAGTAACGGTGAGATGAAGCCTCATTGAACCGTTTAGCCAAATTGTTCCCGATCCCAAAGTTCATGAGGCTCCATGTGAACATGTCACCACCTACTGGTGGAGTGCAGAACTACAGTTTGTAATAACATTTGTGATTTTTTTTTAATTGTTTTTATTGTTTCCCCCTTTTTAAGTTCCTTTGAAATTGTTAATGGTTAGAGTGTTTAAAAAAATATTTTGTATGTTTTTTTAAGTGTAAAATTTCTTAGAACAATCATTTAAGGTTCACAGGTTTTCTGCCATTTTAGTGAAATGAACTCAAGCAGACAGTGAAATTGTTTGTGCAAATTGGGCATTAATGAGCAAAATAAAAGGTGTTAGTGATTTTTATTCAAACATGATAGTTTTTCCAGTTTTTGGTTTTAATCAGGTTGGAAGTTGTGTTCAACCAATCTTTTGGCTAAACCGACCTAATTTGGCAGCGTTTTTAATAGTGTTGCGCCGATGCCATTTTTTGGGCCCGATACCCGATACCTGGCTGTGCAGTATCGGCCGATACCGATACCATAATAATGTAAAATATTTGCCATCATGGCTTCATGTCAAGCTGCTGCCTACCTTTGTGAAGCAGGAAAAAGTCTAATACAAAGTGAATCCAGTAGAAATTTTTTATATAAAGTTCTACTGGATAATAAATAAAAAGTTTTTATTGCCTACCAGGAGTGGGTGACAATAGTTGAATAAACTTATGGCTCTCAAAATGGTATCTGTGCCCTATTTGTTGGTACTCGCCGATACCTAAAATTATAAATAAATAAATAAATTATTTTCTTCTCTGAAAAGTCAAATCAAAGCACTGGATCTGATGGGAAGGAAAAACGTAAAATCACTTTTAGGAACAGCAGATCTTCCGAGACCCCTAAATGAATAAGGTCTGACCTTATTCATTTATTTATTACTTTTGTATTTCCATTTTGTTTGATCTTTTTTTTTTGGGGGGG